CCTGCACGAGTTTGAAACGCCACTGAGCGATCTGTGCGGGACGTCTAAGATCGGTTTATTGACGACTGATCAGATCTGTTTCTTCCACAGTGCTTTGCCGCTCTCTGTTCTCTTCCGCATTCAAGCACGTCCTCCTAGCAGCAAGTACAGATTTTAGAGACTTCTCAGGTAATAGTAAAGGTTTTCGAAGGATTTTTGCGATATCCTTTTTTCCGTGACCAACTAATGATCACTTAATGTTCCCATTCTTTCCGTACTAGAACGTCATCCCTGCTGCCTTCGAATAGAACGCTCCACCACAAAGAATCTCTTACGACACAGGATATTCCTACTTCACACAATACAGTTCTGCTAAGGTTAGGAACATTGTGCCCCTATAGGCTTACCCAAGGACGACGATACGATAGAAAGCAGTTCCCAGATAGGGAGCCCCACAATTCTGATGCTTGTCATAGGTTTGCCATCGCAAACATGCCTACAGTCAACAGGTGAATATCTTCCATTGTTTGTTCCTTGTTTATGACCTGATCCAGGCCCAAGGGAATACGGCTTCGTAATTCAGCTTCCCCGTTAGCTACTCAGATGTTTTTTAGAAATTTTAATTATGCAAAGCAGTAACAAACAAGAACAGTCATAATCGTGTTGCGCAGTGTTGTCTCAGCTCATGGAAATTCGCAATTTATTCAAGCTTTTATGAGATCATTTCAGTACTCATGAATATTAAGCACCATTCTTGAAAAGTGCATCAAGCCTGTGCTGTTACTTGTGATAATTAATCCATGGAGAGGTGGGATTTATGTCTACTAAAGCAAGTTTGATAACAAGCAAGTGAAGACGACGAAAAACCAAGTTTGCGTAATGAATGCACGGATTTATAAAAATTTGTACTTCAAAAGCTCGGTAGAATACTCACCTGTTCACGTTAAAGTGGTTCAGCTTTGAAGACCTGATAAGGGTTCATTCTGAAGGGTTCTGTAAGCAAGTGGATGGTTTAATAACTTTGTATGTGTTAATCACCTCAAGGATGGGAAGAAGCATTTGGAAGAATTTTATGTTGGTCAGGCTTTGTGAGAGCAAAAAACGAAAGCTGGCGAACAGAGTTTTCTCGCTGAGAAGCTCCCTTTACTGATTTATGATGCTTCCAGGACTTATCCGTATCATTTACTCGGATATCCACTACGGTACGGTACAGATGTTAAAAACGCTTGTATAAACTGCTAAAAGGTAATTGTACACTCTAGGAATCACAGAATTAATTTGATATGGAAAATGTCATGCAAGTAAGTATTGTGCATTTGTATTTGTGCAAGTGTCATGCAAGTAAGTATATCTACATAAAAGAGAAGCAGCTGGAAAAAAGTTTTCAAAAACATGATAATTCATTCATGATAACTAGCTGCAAAATGCATGGTGGACGAGGGAATAAGCAGGCAGTACAGCCAACAATCGGAAGTTAATGAAGTTACCGCCTGACCGTATATCAATTGCATTGGCATAATGCTATTGGAAAAGCTCATTGGTGGCTATGTGGGAATGATCTCGTACAGATCACATGCAAATGTGCTTTTCTATTCTGAGAGTACCAAAAAAAAGTAAAAATAGTAGCTCCAATTCATTATTGATAAAATTTTGCACTGACGCCATTCTTCTGCGGCAAAAAATTGTCACACAAAACCATATCTGGAACCAATAAGCCCTTGGGCATCCATTCCCTTCGTTGGCTGTCGTCTGGATGTGAAAACTGATGAAGAAGTCAGGTTCAGCAAAGATTCCAGCAAAGGATGACAAAGGTATCTGGGAGTGACACTGGCACAGCTGAATCAGGTACTGTTGGGGAGGAGATCTCATACAACCATTCGAGGAAACAAGCGGCATTTTTGAAAATGATCAAGGTTCCATATTTAATAATTAATTTAATAGCTCGAGGAATTAGTTGATTTTGTGTTTCCCTATAACATGCACTCTCCGCAGTCGTTCGCCCACTTTAGTAGGAAAATCTTTGGAAGTTGGATAATTATTATATTAGGGAACATTAAAATAATTATAGGAGGCCGTTATCAGCAAATAGTACCAGAAGAGGGAGACCGAAGTGAGGATGACCATTAGGAGTTGCTGAGCAGAAGTTTTCAGTGGGCAAAGAGATCGGCTAAACTTGAATGTGAAGTCACGGAACTGTCAACAAACGAATTTTTCTTGTGTTCCTGATGCATCAATAACGGAGTTGTTTTTTCTATTGAAAAGTACAGCAATTCTCCAGTACCAAAAATTAACAAATTTTTGTTTTTCTATTAACGCAACACTATAAAAATAGGAGTATATTACAACAATTTTGGGTGAACCATTCGACCACCAAAATCGTTCGTCGGTACCTACTGTAAGGAGAGGCCAGCGGGAATTCGAATTCCAAGGGAATCGACATATGGAAATGAGCACCTTCGCAAAGCATGCTTAATTTTTACACAGTCGATGAGGGATGAGCGACCCACCTTATTTTCAGAAATAAAAGCTACTCCAATGGGACCTTAGAGGAAAAATGCAGTCTATCAGTCTAGTTATGTTTTGGACGAGGTCTATTCGCTTCTCGAATAGCCTTCTTGAGTGCACTGCTCTTGACTTTGAGGTGCCCTTTCTTTTCTATGCTGTTGGCCCAGATTAGTGCATCAATGATGAAGAAGGACATAAAATCAGCAGTCCACAGAAGACTAAGGAGCCTTCAGTTGGATTTTCGAAAATCGAAAAAGGGCATAGTTAGGGCATCGAAAAAGCTTATAGCTGATTAATACCAAATACCATTTATGATAACTGTCTTTTCTAGAATCAACTTTATCTCCAGCGAAAGTGGAAGCTACTCTGTGAAGGCTGTTTTTACCAGACTGACCATGCTTTGCTCAGTTGATGTTCTGTAAAGTTCGCTCGCTACAGAATAGAACCAAAACGTAAGCAAAAGTTTTTATTGGACGAGCAGATCTGCCACACTCGCAATTGAATTCACGGAACTGCAAAGGAAGAGATTTTTTTGTGCTTCTACTGCATCAATAACAAAGTTGCTTTTTTTATGAAAAAGTACAGCGACCCTCTATTACAAAAAATTAACAAACTTTCGTTTTTCTATTAGCACAACACTATAAAAATAGGAATTTCTTTACAACAATCTCGGGTAATCCATTTGACCACCCAAATCGTTTTTCGGCATCTACTGTAAGAAGGGGGTGGCGGGAATTCGAATTTCAAGGGAATCGAGACAAGTGAGTACCTTTGCGATTCATGTCTTTTTTAACACGCTCGATGGAGTGGAACAAATCATCTAAGATCTAAGAAATAAAGGCAATTCCAGCGTGAACTTGAAGAAAGAAGGAAGCATGCAGTCCATCAGTCTGGTTCTGTTTTGGAGGAGGTTTATCCGAATCTCCATAGTCAAGACATAGTAACCTTCTTGAGGGCACAGCTTTCAACTATAAAGTGCCCATTCCAGGATGTATAAGGAAAGTGTTGGTCCACAAAAAATCAGCAGAAATTCCGAAATGAAAGGGTAGCATTTTTGGAGCAAGAGAATCGCCTCAATAGGAAAACTTAGAAATCATTTTTATCTAGAATTGTGTTTTTCATGAATCATAGGTCTGCTTGTAGTTCTTGGCAATAGTTTAGAGTTCTCCAGCGCTTATTCAGAAAAGTCTGAATTACGCTTAATTACTTGTTCTTCATAATACCCTACAAACTAGACAAAATTTTTCCAATGTCCCTACTTTCTTGATAGGCGAATGGTTTGAATAGAGATGATTATAGTTATGCCCTATTGCAGAAGCATTGAGAATCATGTTCTAATAAGTCTCTTACCAGTATAAAAAATACGATTCTCAGTAAGCAATTCGACCATCGAAGTTGTTTTCTCCAGCAACTACTGTAGAAAGGACTGGCGGGAATTTGAACCCTGTCAGAGTTGACCTAGGGATGTGAAGTCCATAGAAATTCATATTTGCCTTCACCATAAGTCGATGTCGGATCAAGCATTTTTCGTGAAAATTGTTTAACGGCCATATAGCATACGCTGGAGCTCCTGAATGGTCGGCTAAATAAGTGAGAAAGGGCTGCAAGTTGGCTGGCTGAATATAATCCTGATATGTAATAGTAATCACATCGCATAATTATATTATACTACACCATACTATGCATAGTTCCCTGTTGATGCCGCTTCGAATCAGTTTGACGGACGGTCGTTCTTGTTTGAATTCCGGCATACGGTACCAAAAGATATTATCTTATATAAAAAAAGTTGTGGTCCGCTAGAATACGTAAGGTACTCTTGTAGTGCCTGGAAACACTTGAGGTAGACCGAGAGAGAACTCCCTCACAAAAACTGTACATTAGCAGAGAAAAACTGTGTTTACACTAAACTTACTCGTCTATATAGAATAACTGTCTTCTGACCGATGGTCAGAAATTTATAAATTTGATGAAAGAATCAAGACTTCCTTATTTTGCATAGTGCAAACGCCCACTGCATTGCCCATAAGGTGCCGTAAGAAGTGGCATCTTGGACAGAGCTTCCGCCGGAACAATCCATGTCGATAGTACAGGGCATGACTCATATCCAGCCCTCGTAGGTATGCCTCGTATATGTAGAGACACATTTCACATTGACAGTCATACGCTCCGAATCCGGAACTGACTTCGCGGAGAAGAACGTTTCTTGGGTACAAGAAAGAACAACGGATTCCGCAAAATCATGATGAAGTCCACTTCNCATCCGTGTCGATAGTTCAGGGCATGACTCACATCCAGCCCTCATAGGTATGCCTCGTATATATAGAGACACATTTCACATTGACAGTCATTTGCTCCGAATCCGGAACTGACTTCGCGGAGAAGAACGTTTCTTGGGTACAAGAAAGAACAACGGATTCCGCAAAATCATGATGAAGTCCACTTCAAAACTATACTTTCTAGAAATACTCTTAATCGGTTCGTAACGTCGCTAAATTTCTGCTACGATTATTCAAGCAGAATGAGAATGTGTGAAAAAGGGCTACAAATTGGGTCCAATTGTGAGCTCCCTCTTTGAACAGTGAATACGAGACGAGTTTTTGTCTTTTAGCAGCCTATAAATAGAGTAAGGTACGAATTGTCTCCCCAAGGTGGTCAATCGAGGACCAAATCCAATGGCTTGATGAGTTAAAGGAAATTTTAGATCTCCCAGCCTTCTCCACCCACATCCCCCACGTCATCTTCCACTCCGCCGTAGTGAACCCTGCACTGCCTTTGACGTCAATTTGCACAGATTATTCAATGTTCGTTTGCTTAATGAAAAAAAATGGCACAGGATGTAGGAAAAAAAAAATTCTTCGAGGCCCAGATAAGAATGGCAGATCCTGTCGTTCAAACTAAAAAAAACTCTTCCGATGACTTGTTTTTGTATGAGTAAATTTATGGTGATGGGAATGAACTAGGGAATTCCTTGTATCATAGTCCTTTTTCATCAGCAATTTTGCTTGACATTACACAAGACGGCTCCTGCCAATCCTTCACATTTCTCCATCGTATTTTCCATGATTCATTGCCTGACCTAGCTTTTCTGAGAAGATGTAATCACAAAAATTCTTTCATTTCCGACCGCTCTGTGATAATCCTCTATGTCAAGGAAAATGGCTCATCCCAGTAAATTTTTTTCCTCGTGATGGCTTTGTACTTATAAACAAGGTTCAATTGTACTCTGGTTAGGTATGTCACCCGATAAAGCCATATTCTGAGATAAGACAAAGCACTTCCTATTTAAATCAGAACTGTCCTGAAGGAGTCAGTTAGAATGTTGGGCGACAGTGCTGAAATGCTGGTGAGTTCCCATCTTCCTACCTCGGTTGCCCAAATAAAGCCCTCAATGAAGGGTAACAATACGGCATCTGAAACAGCCTTTTGTAAGGCATGATCTATAAATTGAAACCTCAATAACCCATGTTCTCGGCATGCACAGACATTTTTGGCGAGAGTCCCTGTTGGCCAAGGTCCCGACATCCACACCTTTGAAACAAGTTCCACCCTTACTGGGCTTGGGTATATCCTTTGGTGGGAAGTACCTGATTTTGTTCTTCAAGGGGTACTCTTAATGCCAAAAACGATCAAGGTGCTGTCTAGTTGGGAGATGAACAGTTGTTGGCCTCGGTTTGACGTGATACCGGAAACTCTGCACCGCACAGAGGGTAGACAAGCCTTCTGTTTGCTGGACTACAAAATATTGGAAATCTGATTGTTACAGTGTCAGCTTCAGTCATTCCAGGTCTTGCTTATTCCCTTCGCCTTCTTTGTCGTCTGTTCATATCAAGAAAGGCCTACAATAGGTGAGAGAACTTTAAAATGTTAACCAAATCTACATTTGCTATAAGCGAGTAGTAGAACTCCCGCAATCTAGTACTGACACTTGAAAGCTTTTGCTCAGAGAAAGGGATACCATCGAATTGATTCTCTGTTGATTTGAACAAGGGCGCAGAGTTGGACCCAAAGTAGGTGTTCTGTGGCAAACAATCCAAGCAAGTCCGTGACAATCTTGGGAAGTTGTCACCTACAAAACAATATCCTCTACTTGTTGTGTGCTCTGCTCTGCCGTCATCCTGTCAACGTACTCTTGAGCACCGGAAAACGAGACGAAGTGTCTCGAGGGCCGGAATAGTACAAGTAGGGGTTAGTGTCAAGTCCTAGACCAACGTTTGGCCTAAAACCCACCGACCGTGTGCCATTAAATAGTTCCTCAATGGCCAGAATCTTGAACTCCTCCAGTGTCTTCCCCTTCGCAGTTTACGTACGGCTCTGTAAAACTAGGGTGCAGCGACTGTGCTTCCATTTATTCTTCACCAAAAAAGGGAATCATTTTTCAAAACTCAATCTTCGCGCACTAGACGGAGAGCGACTATTAAACAATTTCATATTTTAAACAGAGATCTTGAGTATGATATCGCTATTCACTTGCGTCTGACCTGCAGAGCCTTTCAAACTTTTCCAGGGTGCTGAAATATCCAAACTTTCCAGGAAAACTTCCTACTCATCCATCTCCAGGAGAAGCTAATATACTAACTGGCGCAGCTCTAGTGGATTATGTAAACAGCCGCCAGTCGCTTTTCGAGGTGAAACTTCACTCGGAAAAATTTTTCTTAAATCTTTGAAAAACCTAAATCCACAATGGCTCCAGTGACTTTTACATAGGCATTTTTCGAAAATATTCCAGAATTTCGATTTGGAGTATATAGCTTATAAGGCATACCATTTCTCCTGTTTTGTTGAAGTATTCTGTGTTCAAATTTGATTTGAGTTGAACTTTAGGCCAAGTATTCTCCAGAAGCAGAACATCGTTTGGGATATTTGATGAGTCTGGACTTTATCAAAAATGCTCGTAAACTGTATAGTATCCCAAGAGCTGAAAAGTCAACTATCAATGTTAGTATCCCAGAAAGGTAAAGGATTTTTTACCGATTTCCTGTTTCCAATCCCGCAATTCGCACTGTAATCCGAGTTTTTTCTCGAGTAGCTCTTCCATCAATTCAGTATTCCAGCGTGTTGGGAGTCGAAAGGTACTTCACTCGGCAAGGTTATCTAGGTGGATAGGAGTACTTGTGTAGTTATTCATTCTCGATATATGACGTGAAAACAATTTCCGATGTTAAGAATCTTAGGGTTGACTGGTTGTAGGTGTGCTGTTGGATGTAGAGCTTTCTTCATAGCCTTCTGCGATAAATACGGTCACAATGTCATTCGACTATGCTGTTATATACACATCAAGAACATCCAAAGATTACTGTTTCGTCTCTGCGGTGACTTAAAGACGTTGTGACGTTCGGACGACTTAAAGGACGGCGTGGCGTGGTGCGCCCGTAGTCCCGCCGGGAAAAACACAGTACGCTGCAGGGGGCTGGAGTTTGTCACGTGGCAGTGGACTCTAGCTCATATGCGGCGATTGCGTCACCATCCGTCGCCGATGTCACCGTCGCAGCCGCCTGTCTTTCGTCGTCTTCTGGTGCTATTCGACGTCAACGCCCCGTCGCAGTCTTCAATGGTTCCGTGTCACCACATTGTTGCCATCCGCTATTGGTGCCAGCGCTGCGGAGTATAGAGCAAGCAGGAAAGGACAAGTGCGGATTCGAGTCCCGTCCGAAACTGGAGTTTTGCCCACAAATCGCCAACCTTGTGAGAGATTCGAATACTGCCTCCGTTATTATTTTTGGAACGCCACTCAGGAGGCAGTTGACGTTTGCGGTCGAATTATATTC